TTTGGTATAAATAGTAAAATTATCATTAGGGAATGGGAAGTCCCTATTTTCATCAGAGAAATGTTGAAGGGTATGCACTGGCAGTAAGCCCTATTTAATTCAGTGTCTCTTTCTCTCAGATAGGTGGGGAAGAGATTACAGTCTTAGTTGGGCATGATTTATGGAATGCAAATGAGAAACCATTGTGAAAACTAGACTCAGAGCAAGCTTATCATCTGAGCTCAACCCCTGACCTCAGGATCCTATTAGGCCAATTCCACCTCATAACCCCTTTAGTTGGTGAAGTGGGGAGGTCTGTTGCCCAGCGGGAACACAATTTGCTCCTTGTTCCAGGGGATACTTATTACCAATTGGCATAAATGGCACGCGGTCATTCTGATCTTCCAATATCGTTTGCTGCCAGAATAGAGCCCTTATCAGCCCTGCAGAACCCTACTTCCTTCTTCTCAGCCCTGTGCATGTGTGCATTCATTCACTTGTTCTTTTACTTGGCAGTCACTGCTTCTCACTCTATGAATGTTGGCATATAAAAGGCTGGCAGCCTTTCAGGCCCTTTAAATTACATACTTTGAAGAGCACATTAACTTCTTTGCCTTATGAATAGCTATAGTTAACAACTAATGCACAAAAAAATGTGCTAAGGTAAAATAACAGAAGACTTCCCAAAATCTATTGGAGATGGATTGAATCTAGAAGCCAAATTTCCAGCCCTGCTAAATTGCAGGATGTTGGTTTGGCACATGATAACAGTAGAAATCAGAAGTGGCCTAAGGTTGAAATGGATTCTCTATACAGTGGTACCTCGGGTTAAGCACTTAATTCGTTCCGGAGGTCTGTTCTTAACCTGAAACTGTTCTTAACCTGAAGCACCACTTTAGCTAATGGGGCTTCCTGCTGCTGCCACGCTGCCGGAGCACAATTTCTGTTCTCATCCTGAAGCAAAGTTCGTAACTCAAGGTACTATTTCTGGGTTAGTGGAGTCTGTAACCTGAAGCGTATGTAACCTGAAGCATATGTAACCCGAGGTACCACTGTCTTTATATTACTGGGAAGAGGGTATGGTTGTTAAACTACTCTGGGAATTGTAACTCTTCGAGGATAATAGCGGTCTCCGAACAACTCTCAGCACCCTGAACAAGCTACATTTCCCAATTTTCTTTGGGGGGAAGCCATGACTGTTTAAAGTGATATGATGTTGCTTTGAATATTTGGTGTGTATGATGCCTCAGTGCAGTTCTTTTAGTGAAAACAAATTTTAGGCTCAGATTGTACACTGTTCTTTGGTTGGCATTCAACAGAATGCTGGACTTTGCACTGATCCACCTCGTAGTGTGGCCAGTTTTGCATGGCCAAAAAAAGCGAAAGGTAATCATCAAAAAGAATACAAAAGAGACTGCAGATTTGCATAATACCTGCACATGCTAATTCATATGTACACATGCAGGTTTAGAAATAATGGATATATTCAACTGTTTCTAAGTTTCATTCAGAGTAGATCTGTTGAATTTTATCGTCTTAACTTAGACATGTCCATTCATTTCAATGGGATTACCCTTTGATTATTGACTGTATGTCTTTTGTACGTGGCTCTGTATAGTGGAGCTTTGGGTTCTAGTTTAAATAAAGTAGGTCCAATAAGCCTAATGTAACAGAATCAGATGCATATAATTTCCTTTGTCTATTTATTTATTTATTTATTTATTTATACATTCATTCATTCATTCATTCATTCATTCATTCATTCAAAGCTTTATTCCACCCTTTTCAGCTGGAAAGCTCTCGGTATGGCTTATAAATAATATTTTTTTAAATAAAAAAACCCTCGCACAGTATCTGCCCTTGGGCTTGCAATCTAAAACAACATGGCACAAAAGGAAAAGGCAGTGGGCAGAGGAGAGAAAAACAGGCAAACTTGGGTACCAAATTCTTGATGTTACAAAGTTCATATAAGGACTACAGTGGTACCTCTGGTTACGAACTTAATTTGTTCCAGAGGTCCGTTCTTAATCTGAAACCGTTCTTCACCTGAGGTACCACTTTAGCTAATGGGGCCTCCCGCTGCCGCCGCGCGATTTCTCTTCTCATCCTGAGGTAAAGTTCTTAACCCGAGGTACTACTTCTGGGTTAGCAGAATCTGTAACCCAAAGTGTTTGTAACCTGAGGTGTTTGTAACCTGAGGTACCACTGTAGCTTGGATAAATTACATTAATATCCTAAGAATCTCAGGTGTTAAGATCCCCTAAGACACACAGGTTTTCTAACACATCCTGGATCCCATCATAGTTTCTAATCTAAACAGAGTGGTTGTGAGTGCCTTTTTAGCAATACCATCTCTGTATCATATTCAGATTGGCAGGCAATATAGGGAGATATTTGAGGTGCCTGTCCCAAACCACAGGAGTCCATTCCTTTTGGAAATGGACTAAAACAGATTTTAAAGCAGACTTTATTATTTTGGACTAGCATTTGGAGCCAGTGTTGAGACTACTGAGGATCAGCAATTGTAATATTTGTCTTTAGCTGCTTAATTACAGTTTAATTCAACTGCTAAAGGAGATTTCAAGAGAGGGTGCACTACCAAACTTTCTTAAAACCAAAATTTCTCAAATTCAGTGCTAGAATCTGATAGTACTATATTTATTTTGGATGCTTTTCTGCCCCCAAAGGGTGTTCTCAAAGCAGCATACCAAAACAATCAAAGAAACTTACGGTAATTTAGGAGAAAACTATTTCAATGTCTGATGCAATACAATGGAAAATTAGCGATAAAAGAAGAAATCAATCAAATAAAAACAAATAATAAACAATATGAAATAGGACCTTAAGTAGCACACACAAAACCCCCAAGAAACAGTCAGTCTCAGCAATAAGAGCTTACCTAAGACCTGCAAGTATAGGGCATTATACAAATTTTAATAATAATAATACTGAAGGAATAGGACAAAAAGAAAGAAAAAGATATGGCCTTCTCCAGATGCCAAGAGAAGGATCAGGAAGGGCCCAGGTAAGCCTATCTGAAAAGGAGTTTGTACTGCAACTGAGAAGGACCTGTCCCACGTTCCAACTAACCACATTTCTTAAACGTTGGTGCACAGCCACCACGCTAGACCTTCATACCTTTTTAATAGCAGTTCTCACAGTAATACTACTACTACTACTACTACTAATAATAATAATAATAATAATTTATTTATACCGTGCCCATCTGGCTGAGTCCCCCAGCCACTCTGGGCGGCTTCCAACAAAACACTAAAATACAATAACCTATTAAAGATATCTGAAGAAGTGTGGTATCTGAAGAAGTGTGCATCTGAAGAAGTGTGGTATCTGAAGAAGTGTGCATGCACACGAAAGCTCATACCAAGAACTAACTTAGTTGGTCTTTAAGGTGCTACTGGAAGGAATTTTTTTTGTTTTGACTATGGCAGACCAACACGGCTACCTATCTGTAACTGGAACTATGGAAGGCACCACATTGAGCCGCATGAAATGGAAGAAAGGTATCTGAAGAAGTGTGCATGCACACGAAAGCTCATACCAAGAACTAACTTAGTTGGTCTTTAAGGTGCTACTGGAAGGAATTTTTTTTGTTTTGACTATTAAACATTAAAAGCTTCCCTAAACAGGGCTACCTTTAGATGTGTTCTAAAAGTTTGGTAATTATTTTTCTTTTTGACATCTGGTGGGAGGGCGTTCCACAGGGTGGGTGCCACTGCCGAGAAGGCCCTCTGCCTGGTTCCCTGTAACTTGGCTTCTTGCAGCGGGGGAACCGCCAGAAGGCCCTCGGCGCTGGACCTCAGTGTCCGGGCAGAATGATGGGGGTGGAGACACTCCTTCAGATATACTGGGCCGAGGCCGTTTAGGGCTTTAAAGGTCAGCACCAACACTTTGAATTGTGCTCGGAAACGTACTGGGAGCCAGTGTAGGTCTTTCAAGACCGGTGTTATGTGGTCTCGGTGGCCACTCCCAGTCACTAGCCTAGCTGCCACATTCAGGATTAGTTGTAGTTTCCGGGTCACCTTCAAAGGTAGCCCCACATAGAGCGCATTGCAGTAGTCCAAGCGGGAGATAACTAGTGCATGCACCACTCTGGCAAGACAGTCCATGGGCAGGTAGGGTCTCAGCCTGCAAACCAGATGGAGCTGATAAACAGCTGCCCTGGACACAGAATTCTCATTACATTCCTTGATGTAGGATTCAACTCCCTGGCTTCATCACACCATTTGCTCTTCATATCCTATTGTATAAGCATCCAGTCTCTTAGGCAGAGGCTTCTAGCCTTCCAGCATTTTTTATTATTATTTTAAAAACAACGCAGAGTTGTTTTTCTTTCTTCTTTTGTCTTTTTTTTTATTATGGGGGGGCACACTGACCATCCTACCATCCCACCACTTCAACCCAACCTGAAGGCATAGTTTAGATCTAAACAATAATAGCGAAGTTGCTGATATCAATATAAAGAGTCCGAAAGTTGCTGGTATCAATATGAAGGAAGCTGTTTACAACCATATACAGTGGTACCTCGCAAGGCGAATGCCTCACAAGACGAAAAACTCGCAAGACGAAAGGGTTTTTGGTTTTTTGAGTTGCTTCGCAAGACGAATTTCCCTATGGGCTTGCTTCGCAAGACAGAAACGTCTTGCAAGTTTGTTTCTTTTTTCTTAACACCGTTAATACAGTTGCGACTTGACTTTGAGGAGCAACTCATAGCACGTGGTGTGGTAGCCTTTTTTGAGGTTTTTGAAGACTTTGGTGATTTTTGAAGCTTTTCCAAAACTTTTCCGAAACCATGCTTTGCAAGACGAAAAATTCGCAAGACGAAAAAACTCGCAGAATGAATTAATTTCGTCTTGCGAGGCACCACTGTATTGTGGAATGCGGCAGGTGCAATTTGTCCTGTAGAATCTTTGTTAGATGAATAGCCAGCAGTCCATCATAAAAGTATAATGTGTTTTTGCCCTCTAGCCACACAAAGTCTTTGCGTCAGTTTTTTCAAAAAATGCTATGTCCCGATGTTTTCCTTTATTCCATTTGTATTTATATGCAGCACTCTCACACATATCAGGGCAGTGCAAAGCAATACAAAGCACATTTTAGAAACCATTAAAAGCAGTAGAGCACAATCGTTAAGATGATTGGCTACTCAAGAACATTTTAAACAATGGCACAGGCTAGTTGGCATTAAAAGATCTTCAAAGCACGAAAGGCGAAAAGCTAGCAAGCCTGTCAAATCTCTGCTGAAAGAATGTCCCACAACATGGGGCTGGTGACATTAAATGCCTGAATTCCAGTGGAGGCGTGTTGTGCTTCTGTAAGACATGGCTCTGTAAGGTTGGACAACCAACTTTATGCAAGCTGGCCGAAGTGACTGCTTGCCCTGTTCTTGGGTTCAGCTATTCACCTGTAAAATGAAAAAAGAGACACATTAATTACGGTACATAAAATATAATGTGGGAAGACGATTTTGCTGGTGATGGTGATGATGAAGATGATGAAGAAGAAGAATTTTAAACGTTGTAACTCTAGAAATGCTCCAAACGTCACAAAAGGGTCGCAGCTAATGATTCAAGGGGCTGCTGACTCCCAACCTGCTGACCAAGGGGATATCGGAAAGCATCAATATATCTTGGAGACCACAGATAAAAAGGTAGGTCTGCTGGTTAAAAACTGAGGCCTTCTTGCTGTGTTTAAGAGTGGTCGCAAGCAACCAATACATTTTCCTATTAAGCATATTTGCCCAACAGTACTGATCCACTCTTCTGGATCAGTCTTTCTGGGCTAGCTGCCCGCATCTTATCCATATCTGCTCTTCATAGCTAAAGGCAGTTGTGGTTCTGGATAAGGCCATGTATGACTGTGTGTGTGTGTGTGTGTGTGTGGAATGACATACCTCGGGTTACGAACACTGCGGGTTGTGTGTTTTTGGGTTGAACCCAGAAGTACCGGAACGGGTTACTTCTGGGTTTCGGCACCCGCACATGTGCAGAAGCTCAAAATGATGTCACGCGCATGTGCAGAAACGCCAAATCATGTCATGCGCGTGCACAGACGCGGCGCTTCAGGCTGCTAGCGCTGTGGGTTACGAACGTGCCTCCCACACGGATCACATTTACAACCCGAGGTATGACTGTACTAGACATTGAAGAAGAAGAAGATTCCACCTAAACATTAGGAAGAACTTCCTGACAGTAAGAGCTGTTCGACAGTGGAATTTGCTGCCAAGGAGTGTGGTGGAGTCTCCTTCTTTGGAGGTCTTTAAGCAGAGGCTTGACAACCATATGTCAGGAGTGCTCTGATGGTGTTTCCTGCTTGGCAGGGGGTTGGACTCGATGGCCCTTGTGGTCTATTCCAACTCTATGATTCTATGAAATCGCTGCCTCCCACATCACCCATCATTTCTCTCCTGCCAGTAGGTGGCAGTGCTACAGGGACGTAAAACCCAGTGGTGACGAGGCTTAGATCCCTGAACTTACTAGTATTTTGACTTCCTCTGTATCTGGATCAGCTTCCCATGTCCTGAATCTCCAGTGTACCAGGGGAACCTGATGTGTGCCCCCACGTGAATTACAGAGAAATGAGCCAAGTCTTGCTGCAGCATGGCCAAGCATCTTTTTTCAGAAAATTCCACCCATGATCCATTTTTTAGCCAATGCAAATGTTGCTTTCTGAACATCTGTACACGACAAGCCACTTGGAATCCTGCCTGTCCCATGTGAATGTACACAAGCGCCCCTCTAGGTTGGCATGTCTGGAACTGATTACATCCAGGCTTTTTCCTACAGCTGCATTCTATGAAATGGTTGCATGGAGGCCTTGACACAGGGTTAATTTATTTCTGAGATGATAAATTCCCCTCATTTTTAGAGGGGGGGGCGCGTTCTGGAGTTTCTTTGAAAGAGCTTCAATGTAAAAACCTCCAAAAGGTAGCAGAGAAAACCCTAGTTTTGACTGAAGAAATTTAGGAAGACCACAAATTAGAGCAGAGGGCACAGGTAGGGAAGAGAGACTCTCAGGTGCACAGGGAAATGGTTTAGTAGGCCCAGAGCATTTTTGACAAAAAAATGATAATAATCTTCTTCTGGGTGTTTGTGGTGCGTGGGTGTGGGTGTGGGTGTGTATGAAATGTCTAAAAGACTTGAAAAAGATCAGATAAAATTTTCTGAAAATATCTTTTTACACATTTTATAGCCTCTTATTCCTCTTTTTAGACATTTTTATTGGATCTTTTCCAAGCCCTTCAGACATTTCAGTATATATATATATATATATATATATATATATATATCCCCAGAATAAGATTTTTGTTGAAACACATCATTTTTCTGTACAACTGAGAGTTTCTCTTTCCTTTCTTCCGGGGGTGGGCAATTTCAAACAAATACCATTATGAAAATCATTGTGTGTGTGTGACTTTCCACTTCAGAAAGAAGAGGAATTAAAAGAAGAGGATCCAGTTGCATGTAGTGGTTCAAGATGTGCGAGGGGAAGTCCTCAACCCATAGCCCATCTCAGCCATGATCTCACCTTAGGCAAGGCACATTCTCTCAGACTTAGGCTTCGTACACATCATACTTTTAAAGCACATTATTTTCTCCAAAGAATCATGGGAATTGTAGCTCTGTGAGGGGTAAATTACAGTTCCCCAGTTTCTTGGAGGGGGGTGCCTTTAGTGTATGGTAACTATGCAGCACAGAGATATGCACCATCTGCAGTATGGGCAGAATGAATCTTCCCTACCTTACCGTGTTGCTGTGAAGATTAATGAGGCTGCATAAATGCCATTCTTACATCTCTAGAAATGTTTTTATTGGTTGGAATCCAGTTTGTGTTCATGTGCTAGCGGAAGGGGATTTGATTGAGTGGGTGCCTCTCCAGCTAAAGAGGTGATACCTCTGATGAGCCCCATGGGGACGTCCTGGGAGGACTGGTTGGAGGTGGAAGAGGATTGGGATGAGGTCACCGAGTCTGATGTCAGGAAGGGGCTGAATGGTGCATTGGGAGACATCATCAACCATCTAGAGCCAGACATCCCAGCGGAGGAGGCGTCACCTGATCCAGCCCTCCACCTCCTTTCAACAAGGATGCTCAGGGAATCCGGGAGACATGTGAACCTGAGTCGGACCATGACCCTGCTGAACCAGGCCAGCATCTCTCACCCAGGACATGCCCTTGGAGGTGCCAGTGCAAGAAGATCCAGCTCACTCACAGGAGTGCCTGCCTGCTTGCCCAGTTCCGTTGCTTGGGATGAGAACTATGTGAGTGACTGTGAGCCCATCCCACTCTTCAAAAGAGAAACCATGGGTGTGTGTCAGGGAGATAACCTATTAGTTTGTGCCAACGCTATTTTTCTAGAAAAAGAGGTGCTAGAACTCATCGTGAATGCCTCCCTTCTTTTCTTAGAATGGCAATGGTGCCCACCAGAGAGGTGCCAGAACTGAGTTTCGGTGAGGTCTGGCTGGAGAAAAAGCCCTAACCATGCATCTTGGAACCCTGTTTCTGTGTAGCCCATCAGCTAATTATGTTTAAACCATGTAATGGCTTGTGGTATAAAGCATTCGGGAATAATCAGCTGAGAAGCCGAGTACCATGTCTGAGAGTAGGAGCTGGGGCAATATTTGCTGCATCCCTTTTCCTCTTCCCCTTCCCCTGCACTCCAGCACTTCTTTAAAATTTGCTCCAGATAATTAGGGACACTTCAGAACAAGGTAGGAAGTGGCATTGGCGGGGAGTGAAACCTCAAGGAGTAACTGGCAAAATTTCCCTCCCCTTAACAATTATATTTACTGGATCAAAAGCACTTCCATGGGTACAAGGACACCAAATGGACCTTCCTTCCTTCCTTCCTTCCTTCCTTCCTTCCTTCCTTCCTTCCTTCCTTCCTTCCTTCCTTTGCTGTAGTATGTTTATTATGTGATGTCACTAGTGATTTAAATGTTTACTTGCCACACTGATGCCTTTGCTTCTGTTTGGTTTTGCTTGTGTCTCACCCTGCCTACAAATGCATGCCCACTGCAAATCAGCTGACTGCTAGCTTTTACTAATGAGCCAGTGCATTAGGTTTGCAACCTTATTTCATCACACACAGAGAGAGAGAGAAAGAGACAGACACACACACAAAAATACTTTCATCTTTAACCACAAGCAAAATAAAGGAAGAAGCTGATGAAGATCTCTGACAAGTGATGCAGCCTGGCTTCTCTAACTGATGTCACAGTTCCTGTGGCCAAAAAAGAAACATGTTTGTTGCTAAGCAACACTATGTATATATTTCACTTGCCTGTTCCCACTTGGGATTTAACATATGCATTTTCACTTTCATCTCTGATGCATAGTTACATTTGTTTGCTTTGAGTGCCAAGATGAATGGAAACTGTCCAGTATAGGATATGCAAAAAGTACTGAAAGCTCAGGGGAAGATTTACCAACCTGAGCCATTGTTCTGCAGTGTAGTTTCAGTGAGAAACCTACTGAGTGCCATTCACCAGTGGCTGAGCCAGTTTCTCCATTGAGAAAAGATGCTGGGATTTATGTTTAAAAGGACTACTGGTCCCCAAAGGTGCTGCCAATGGAGCCAAGGGACTTGGGCTTGGATTGATTTACCTCTGATGCAGTCAAATGGAGCATAGCTGCAACTCTAAGCATGCTAATAGAGGATAACTTCCATTCAAAAGTCTTTCAGATTGGTGTATAAACACTACTTGAATTTAATTGGATTGTGGATGTGTTCTAGGTAATGGGATATTTTGACTCATTTAATCACCTTCTTTTTAAATGTCAACTTTTCCAGACCTTATCCCTGTTGAATTTTGTATATTAATCTCATGTTGCTGATGAAACTTCCTTGTTGAAAGTAATGACACGTGTGCCCCCACTCCACACTTTTTGTCCCATACCCCCAAACACATACCCCTTTTTCAATTTATTTAGACCAATAGCATGTACAACATGTGTTTTTAAATGCATCAGGCCGGAGAAATGGAACACAAAAACAGATATTAGTTATGATAAGCAACATTATGAAGTTATAAAATACTGTACACTAAAACATGAAACCCTAGATACCTTAAAAGCACTTTAAAAAAAGAAGAAGTCCAGTAACAAATTTTACTTAGTGGAATTCCAAGGGAAATGATTCGTTATTTTTTCACGTTTAGTCACAATGTGCTCTCAGTAATTAAATGACAAAATCTGGCACAGGATTTTCTAAACAAAAGCCCATGTTATGATGAAAACTAAAGGGATATAAGCAGCTTCCTTCTAGGTTTACTATTGTCTCTATTAATAAGCATTAAAGAGAGAGAAACACTGGAGGAATTCTCCCAGTGTACATGGTTTGAATTTTACTATGCTTTTCAGATTAGTTTAATTTCCCACTGGAAGTTGGCTCTTCATAAATATTGG